AAGTCTTAATGGGAAAGACATCACACACTGGAAGGCAGGTACATCCTGCTGACGAGTCTCAAACATAACGAAACACATGTCCCGGTTTCCACTGCTAGCCATTCGTCGTTATTATTACAAATACTTGTGGCTTATATTTATAAAAATTACCTGTTAGAAATTTGAATTTAACTTTTTCGCACTCCATTATCAGCCTTCCGAACACTACTTGTTTGCCTACTCCTAACGGTAATAATTCCCCATTGGTTGTTCTTTGTCCTTTAGCATGCTTATCCATTTATTTATCTTGCGTACAAACCGAAGAGCTGAACCTGTATTGGTATGTTCCAGCGAGATATCCAACTATTTATCAAATGACGAGGTTACTACACCGCAGTTCGTTCTGTCTTGAGACATGATCTTTAAAAGTAAAAGGCGTTTCACTGTCACCTGTCAAATGAAAGATGAAGCTCGACGATTGGTCCGTTGCAACTACTCCCAGTCTAATGATAGAGAGTGAAGTGGTGGAATATGTCGACCACTTCACTTACTAGGGGACTTACATCAGCTCAAATGGGGTGGTTGCTAACAAAATTTCACCTCGGATGTAGAAGGCCCGTTTGACATTTGTCAACTCTCATCATCTCCGACGATGACTGGCGAGATACCCGACTATATATGAGAGGACGAGTTTACTGAACTGTAATCCGTTCTATCCTGTTATACGACTGTGAGACATTTGTGTTAAGAGTAGAATACATGAAAGGGTTACTGGGTTTTGATCACAGTTTCCTTCGTGACATTGATCGCTTTTCATGGCATCACCGAGTGAGTAATGTTGGAGTTGGTCGACGGATACTGGACAGGACTGGCAAGTCGATTGCTGAGGTTGTGAACCTTCTTGGCTGAGATGACTTGGACGTGTGTTGTGTATGCCGAGCCACGCCACCACCTACCTGGAGGTGCCAAACTGGTGGTGGAAGTTGTATTATATTGGAAGAAGGTTGAGAGTGACCAGCCGAAGACTTACCATCAGTGCATGGTGTTTGTGACTGTAGATGTGAGCCGTGTTGAGGCGATGTAGCGTGTTTGGATGGGGTTCCTGAGTCGGAAGTAATCAGTGGTTGAGGATACCTGGTGATATGGCTGAAAATCAGTCACAATGGAGGGGATGTATTCACTCTTTGGTGTATTTTAAAGCTTGAATATTTACATAAACCGTTATCATCTTCGGATTATTTATTCTGTTGCACAACTTTGTCTACTTTGATATCACTTTTATAACATCTATCTATTTTTTGTGTACTATTGCTATATGTGACAACTTCAGGCAATACACTTATGTACAATGTTCTGCGTCGATTTGGTTAGTCAGCCAGGGATCACGAAGAACACAGTCAGTCAGCTCACAACTCTCTATATAGCTCATACCCTATGAAAGATCTCATGGATTTGTACCACAACTTGATCTCATCATATTTAGCCTAATTCTAGAATAATGCTACTCAAGTTAACATCGTGCATGAAGGTGAGTATCTAACAAACGCCCGAGTCAAGCGGACTTAAGAAGGTTCAGAGCCTCATGCAGTGACTTGCATTTCTCGCCCAATATAATATGCCTAATACTAACATTGCGTACACGGTGTTTCTGGAGGAAACGAGAAGACAGAGACGAAGGAAGGTATATTAGTTACAAATATGTGGTGCAGCAGTCATCAAACATGGTGTACCTTGCAATAAGACAGTCATTTGCATAATGTGCTTCATTTCCTCTTCGGCTTCTATCTTGATTTGCTCTTAATACGCCCACGTTGTCTCTTGAGTTTCTCTGGACAGAATCTTTACACATTGCAGGTAACTGCCTATGGTTTCTGCTACCCTCTCAATGTATACTACTTATATCTATTCTTATCAGCAACGCCCACTACAGTTCTAGCACAAGCACCTTGAACAATATGTTCTGCAGAATAGTCTGAAAAATGAACGAAGTAACTGTTTGTTACACTGTGTCGTTCGGTGATTACACTTTTTCTGTTTTAATAAGATTTCCTTGCTTCAATATCACATTGTCTTGAGTGTAATAATAATAATAATAATACCAATATACATTGGTAAGCTCTTACTACAGCGATAAGCCACACCTCTTATGCAAAGACTACAATACTACTTGGCAACCAAAACCTTGGTCGGTGAAACGGGATTTGAGTATGTGAATTTATTGGTTCAAAGTTTTGTGTACCAATGAAATATACTCAGCTTAGTAGTTTTATTATGATACTGAAAGTCTAAGAGAGTGAAAAGGAACAAAGCAAAGAAAAGAGGAATACATATACCGTTTATTTTCCAGCTTTATCCCAAAAAGAAAACACTGCAGATAGAAAGTGAAATGAACAAAAATTAGACATATTGGTCGAAAATTGTTAGCTTGGAAAGTTTGCGCAGTAGGCTATGAGCTACATCTGTTTTTTGACAGCCAGGTTGCTCAGACTGAAGTAGATGGGGCGGTATTCGAACCCAAGAATCATCGCCAAATAACCTGCACCTCCACAATGTGAGTTAGTGATGAAACGGTATAAAAGAGGATAATCATTGGCTATATTGTGCCACTAGATGGAGTATGAAATGGCCAATTTGAAGACCATTGATTCGTATTTAGTCATGTTCCAGGTTTCACTTGAAACATAGCCAGTCTTCATCTTCATAAAACTGTGTAGGTAATTTGGCTGGATAACCATTTCATCCACGATGTAATTCCAATAAGTTTAGATTGAATGCATCCCAATAAGTAGGAAACCAAGGTGGAGCAGGGTTTCCTGTTTGTTGACTCCCAACACAGAAATACATTGCATCGCAGTGTCACCACTTAACTTAGAGTTAACATTACAAAATCTTTACTGATAGTATTCCATCAGCACGCAGTGCATTAAGGATTAGATAGCTTAATCGGTTATCCAGTACTGGTGACCATTTCGTACTAATCTAGCTGTTCAGATAGCGTAATGTAAAAGTAAGGGTTATATTATTTCCAGTAGTACAAAGACTGCTTAAGAGTGCATATAAATGAAATCAGATGAGCCTTCAGCTTCTACGAGTGACCTCGTAGATAGTTTGACTGACTGACAACATAAACGTCGAACATCGCATACAGGTGCATCGGCTCAACTTGCTACATTTCACACTAGTACACAAAGAAGAGATGAACAGAAAAATAATGATATCAAAACAGAAAAAGTTGTGTGAGAATTACCAATGTGAAGACAACAGTTAGTGAAAACATTCAAGCTTTAGAAGATGTCAAGGAGTGAATATATTTGCCCCATTGTGACCAATCATTAGCCATTTCATAAAGGGTTCTCAACCACTGACTTTTATGGTGTCGGGAACCCCAACAAAGTAGTGCACATTTAACAACACGACCCAGATCAATAGTCAGGAACTTCATGGACTAGTGTTACGTCTTGGTCTGGTCACCTTGAACCCTCTTCAAAGCCAATTCAACTTCCTCTAGCATGCTGTGTCACGGCAGACGGTGGATCGGCATGCGCAACACATGTCTAAGCCATTTCAGTCAGTGAATTTTTTTAACTTCACCAATCGACTGACTTTTCCTGGCTAACATCCTTTGCCTGACCTCAACATTGCTTGCACGGTGATTCTACTATATGCGGACAATGCTAACAAGACACATATATTCAAAAATATGTGGTCACATCATATCTTCTACAGTATTAACAGCTATATTTCACTTGTTTGTCAATATTATTAAGTGAATTAATTACAAAATTCCTACAAATAATCCTTTCAATCATCGTAATTTCTGATTTTAGGTTTCAAGTATGAGGTATCGAAATCCACTCAGCAACTACTTACACATTCATGGAGTAGACAGTAAACCATACTCTTTTGTTTCAGGGCTAATGACACCATTTTCTGTTCAAATCTTGACAGGTGAAACTGCGTTCTAACGCATGAACCAGCGGTTGGAAATCAAGTGCCTAGAACCATGAGCCATAAGTCTACGCTTTCTAGGTATGGTAGTAGTATTCATCAATTTTTTAAAATAAATATTTAACCTTATCAGCTTCAACATAGCTAGACAGAATGCAATGTAACATAGGCAATTTATTGACGTATATAAACCAAGCCTTTATTATTATTATTATTCAGGAGTATAGTGTTATTAGGTTGGTAAAATAGTGGAGAAATCCCTGAGTAGATAAAGAACCAGAAGAGGATATAGAATACAATCACCATATATATCTGTATCGACTTGAGCTATGAGCTTTAATCTTACTGAGATTTAATGGTCACAGATGGTGAACTTTTCATTCGGATATACTTGGTTATGGTAAGAGTCACCATAACAAGCAACAGTCAAACACAACTGATGAGTCCCGATCAGGATGAAACCCATCTTCTGAGTTCCTCTACTACCCATTATTCAATAAAATCAAAATGTAATCAAAAACAGCATCAGGGCATCTGTACAAGGAACCCAAATGTTAACAATAACCGATCAATAGAGTCCAACACAAATCATGAATGAGCAACCAGATAAGATTCTCAAAGTTCTAGTGAGAAGTCATAACTGGTGGGGCTAACCAAGTCGAACGTGAGGACAGTTGCTCAACGACGGCATCGGGTAGAGGTCGAACTATACCATGAACTGACAGAAGGAGGAAATATGAGCCACTGAATACTGACCTGGTGGCTTAATGGTAACGTGCTGGCAGCGAAGCCCGAAGGTCCTGGGTTCAGCCCCTGGCAGGGTCGTGGGTACGCGCTGCTGAGGAGTCCTATACTAAAACGAAACGGCTGTCCAGTGCTCCCAGGTCTCCAATGATTCTCCGACAAGTGTCAGTTCACGGTGAGTATCAATCTAAAATCAATCAATCCCCACAGACCTCCGAATTGAGGAACTATAGGCATTTAAAATGCTCTACTAAAGTAGTAACGGTAATAAAAACTCCATATTACGTCAATAATCAAATCAAGTTAGCAAAACTCAATGCGAGACTTACCAAATCATGGTTATAATTTTTCGATATTCCATTTATATTACTGGATATATACACATCATTATTATTGTTATTATCTGCAGTAGTAGTGTTAGTAATATCAGTGTTGTTATTATTACCATCCTTATTCAATGACAGATGATGAGATAATTGTCTACTTGAAAGGTTATAATTTCGATTGAATTGGTCATATACAAAATTAGTGTGCATGCCAAAGTTTTTTGAAGGTCGATGTGAATTTTGACACTTTCTACCAATCTCACCATATTTATCTAATCCTTCATCATGATCACTACCACAACTATTTGGATTAATGTCATCATCATCATCACCGTCCATAATTGCATCAACAGAAGCATCACTATTTCCACTCTCATCTTTATCATATTCATCACATAGATCTGTTGACTGGTTGTTTGAAATGATCAACAATTTGGAATTATTTGACAATCTTCGTTTTTCTGATTTCTTCTCTGATTCACTTCTACTAACAATATCACTACCATCATTATTATCATTATCATCTTCATCAGCATCTTCATTTTCTTCGAATTCTTCTTCTTCATGGATAACATTCGTTTCAGAATGTTCCAAACGACGTCGTAATTCAGCGATTACACTATGTAGTTCAGTTAAACGATCTTCATAACGTGAAACTTGATTAGTTAATTCAGTGCGTAATTGTTCCTTCTCTTTTTGTAAGCGTTGTATTTCACGACAACTCATAACCCGACTTGTCTAAACAGAAAAGAGATTCACAAACAGAGGATACAGGTTGGCATAATGTACATAAATTATATGCACAAAGATATGAGAAATAAATAACACGAAATAATTAACAATTTGACCATCTGAGAGATGAGGTTTGAAAGCCTTGTATTATTGATGCTGGGGTAATGATTCAAGGTGAAATGAAAATCTGGATCGCGGGAAGATTCTATGCAATTCAGCTCGACTTTAATTGGAATGAGAAGTTCCGGTTGGGCAGTCAATAAGAATACGATGAACGGATAGTAACGCATCACGAAATTACATAGAAGTTGAGAAAAATCCTTGATGAGTAAAGTGAAGTCAAGATCTGGTTAGCATCTGGGCTGTATAACTCAGTTAGTACAGTACCAACTCGGTAACCCAGAGGCCTTCGGTTCTAATCCTGCCGAGACCCAGACTTTCATTCCGCATTCGCTCATCACCCAGTATCAATCAATTAGTTAACAGTTAAGTATCTAAACTTCAGCAGTACAGCACTAGGTAGATAACTCCTATCATGAATTAGGTTTTCCACCGACTTTAGTCATCACCTTTGAACAGAATTTCTATCAAGTAATGCATCAAGAAAAACATGGAGAAGTGAATGGAATGAATCCCGTGAATATGATCGGTTTACATAGCTCTACGAAGTTCAGTGGAAAGTGGGGAAAAGTTGAAATAACACAGTCGACAGTGAAACATATTCTTAAAAGAATCTTTGAAGACGCAAACACCACTTAATTAACATTCAAGTTGAGATTTAACAGTGAAAGTGGTGGACAACGGTGACGGTTGACCCAACCGGTTTACGTTATATAATGGGTAAATGCAAATTAACAAACGTCTGACTGATCTGATTGTTAACCATATCACCAAGAGTTCTCAACCATTGATTCCTGTCATCTCGGGGACCACAGCCAGATAGTCTACACCTTCCAACAAACCTCAGACCAACAGTCAGACACATCATGGACTGGTAACACGTCTTGGTCTGGCCACCCTAAACTCTCTTTTAATTTAATCCGATTTCCCCTAGCATGGCACGTCTCAGTTAACAAAGGTTCACAACCTCCTCCATTGACTTGATCGTCTTGGCTAGTAACCTTCTCTTGACCTCAGCACCGCTCGTTCCGTGATTCCACCAAAAGTGAGCAATGCTACGAAGACACCTGTGATCAAAACCCTGTGACCGTCTCATGTCTTCTACTTTTGACAGCAATGTCTCACCGCTGTATAAAGAGACAGATTGGACTACGGCACAGTATACTCGTCACTTGATAGACAGTCCGATATCTCGCCAGTCGGCGCCACAGCTGATGCACGAAGATCAGTAATGAATAACCATTCAAAGAACTAAAATAAGTGACATTTAGAATTAGAAATTTTTGAATGCTAAGGAAGTGGGTTTCTAGTCATGGTTTTTAATGTCTCTCGATCTACTGATATCTATCTGTGACAGGATGTTAATTTCATTTAGATTAAAAACACACCTTGCTGGTGAGTGACAAACAGTATGAGAAGTAAATCAAGCAGAGCTCTCTACTGATTGCTTCCAACTCACTAACAACAATTAAAGTGCACCGCCATAGAGAGTCGTTTGCTTGGTGAACATGTTATAAAATAATCATTAGAATTCGCTCAGCAGGATATTAAACTTCAGTTATCCATGTCATTTGTTTATGTTGAAGTACATTGAACTATTAGGATATACAAGTCAACTCTTCATCAGAAATGGAGATGTTTGGGAATAGACGACCAACATACAAGGATTGAATGAATTCATTGATCCTTATTTCATAAAATTTCATTCTTGTATTGTATTGCTAACTTTTGTTGATATCCTGATTTTAACTCTGAAAATTTTTCTGCATGAGGTAATCCTAAATATCGAACCTAAATAGAAAATCTAAGAAGAACAGCTCAACTAGGCTACAGCCATGCTTCAGTCTTCCAGTATCCAGAGCAAACTTGAACACAAAAAATTGGTAATCCAACTCTTCACGAAATTGAGAAGGCTATTTCAAACCTGAAATGATGCAAATCAGTAGCACCTGACGGTTTTCCACGAGAGGCTTTTGGGGACGAAAGTAAAACATAATTGAGTAGAGTAGCGCAGGTACTAGGTAGTACCTCTGATTATTTTAGTCTACATGAAGGAAAATCCTTTGTACGGTAACCAGGGAGGAATCAGTTTGACTAACACCAAGTCTAAGATAGTTGGGTTCATAGTTATACGACATCTAGCCGAAACTCGAAAAAAACCCTAAAGAACTAGGTAGGTTTTGGAGTTGGTAGAGGGTGCATCGATCAGATTTTCGGCTCTTGACAGGTTTTGGGCACAGTTACACATACAGGTGGTTGACACTTGCCATATTTTTTTACCCCGTGGCGCCACTCAGCCCTGTCGACCGAGAGGTATCGTGGCAGTGTATGACCATGAAGTGAGCACCAACCGACCATTTGATCTTAATAGACGTCCTACGGTCGAACTCATGCCGCTGTTTAAGGGCTTATAGAGAGTTGTCATTTGAAATGAAGACAACCAGTGGTGTTCACTGGGGATGCCTGTTGTCAGCATTCCTTTTTAACCCTGTTGAAGACTTGCCAATATACATAGTCCTAGATACCTAGGGACTTAAATAGATAGACTTACACCCAGGAAAGCACCTGGTTAACTTCGAGTATTCAGATGACACTGACCTGGTAAGCGAAGATGTTGACAAAATTTAGGGCATCTGAACGCCCTGTAGAGGAATCTGCGTCACCTTCGCATGCCTTTTTGCACCTTCAAATGCGAGATGATACTTCAAAACTGGTTAGCACCGATTGCTAGTTCAGGGATTTAGACTGAAGTAGAAGAATGCATTAACCGCTTCAGTGACTTGGAAAGTTGCGTCAGCTCAAATGGGTTGGTTGTTTACGAAATCTCAGCTTGGATAAAGAAGGTCCGTTTGGCGTTTGCCAACTTGTGTCATCTCTGGTGCAGGTAAGACATCTGACAAACTATCAAAGGGCGAGCAAACCGCGCACTAGTCTGTTTTGTTTGATTATACCGTTGAGAAATGCACCCATTGAAAGTGAAAGATATCATGAGATTGAAGGCCTTTGATCACTAGTATCTTTGAAGTGTTGCTTGCATATGATGATATTGTCATATGAGCAATATCGAGGTTAGGTGGAGAGTACCAGGCAAAGAAAGCAAGTCAGGAAATGAAATTGTGAACTGTCATCAATTAAGGTGGCTGGGATGTATACTGTGCATTTGGAGGCACATTCTACCTTGTAAGCCAAAGTAGAAATGGGTTGAGAAAAGCTTCAGAGTAGCCGGACTAAGAAGTGGCATCAATCCATGAAGTCTTTAACCGTTGGTTTGGGTCGTATAGGGAGGTGTGAGCCACCTGTCTTGAGTCCTCGAAATCGTAGAAATCGATGGTAGAAGACCCTTGGTGATGTACGTCTCACTCGGTCAAAACGGCGCAAATACATCCACTCTTTCACGATGTCGAAAGTTTTAGAAGTTTTCCCTAACCTTCAAATTTTCTAATTCCTTCTTCTCCAATGAACTTTTATCTTCCATAATATCAATCTTTTTCATTCACTCTCCCCTCACATGTTACTATTGGCAATTCTGAACGTTACACTTTTGTGTGGGTTTCTATGTTCATTTTCCCGTTAGTCAGTGGTTCATTTCCGAAGATGTTTTCTGATGTACAGCTAGTTAAAAGAAGTATTTGACTACTTACCTTTGAGCCACACGTTTAAAACTACTTTAAATGTTTTGGTTTGAGTGAATAGATACCACACTTCAAAACAATACACAAAGAGGAATTAGATGGGTAAAGAATGACATTAATAGACTGATAAAAGTGAATGAAACAAGAAAAAAATCAGTAAATGAGGGCAAGTTTCAGGTTTAAAATTTTGACGATGAAAAAAGTGCGTATATCTGTGCAGCTGTAACCGATTTCAGCCATATTGCCTAGTTTCCTGTCATCGAGTCGTATGATCACAAAGATCACAGTCAGTTCGTAGCCCTTTTCAGAGCCCATATCACCTTACAGACCTGATGGACTGGTTCCATGCCTTCATCTTACCATATTGAGCTTACTTTCAGAATAATCCTACTTTGGTTAGCATCATGCATTGAGGTAGGTATACAGCTAGGCCAAGTGAGTTTTTAAAGGTTCACAACCTCATTCACAGACTTTCGTTTCCGCTAGTACTGTCCAGCCGGCCTCGAAATCGCATACATGCTTGTCGCATCATAAACTAGCAAATCTACAGGTCCATAAATCTTTTCACATCTACTTTCCTATACTACGATTCAAGTGTTGTGCTTAAAATGCTTCATATGCCACTGATAAATGGTAAGACAGTCATCTTTAACGTGATATACAACTTTTCGCTTACCTGTAGGCCTTGCAGTCCATGTGAGAGATCACGAATCTCCGAACGCAACTGAGCTGTCCGTTGAACATGAAGAGTGTTGGCACATTCAAATAAGTGTCGAACATGATCAAAATATGGATTTAACTCGGCCCTGATCGTTTGCACCTCAGACGATTCTGTTTTTATTGGCTTCTCCAGACTGTTGATTTTTCTTTAGACTAACATTTGTGGTGTTAGCCAGTTCCTTTCTACGACAACTTTTAGTATTATCATCATTAAGCGTATTGCATGCAGGCAGTTGGATTGAGTCGTCTGGAATTTTATGCTTCCCTATATTTTCAAAACTGCCTACATTTGAATTAGTTTGAAATGAGAAAACAGTTCTATACAAATCAGCAAAATCACGTTGCATTAATATGTGTAAACTTTGTGGTCCCCACAAAGATCTTGGGCTCCAGAATCGTACTCAGCACCTAAACATGACAAGAGAATGAGATAGTGTAGTCAGATGAGCATACACATTATAGGGTGCGGCAAACATGAATACTATTTCAACCTGTTATTATTTGCATCAACTCACAAAGAATAGGGCCACAAATAGAAAGCGAAGGAAAGGGGAAATAATAATGTGAGCATTTTATGTATCTAAGAGACAAAACAGGAAAACAAGGAAAAGGATACACAAACACAAGATTTCCAAGATTTAAACAATGGAGTATCGATACATACACGCAACTGATACCGCTTCTCTCCCACACCACCTAGTCTCCAACCATCAACTACTTGTGTTTGGCATACCCCATTCAGAAAACCTATACATTTTTATCCTGTCCTGTTTTCCTTGACACGAATATGAAATTATGATCAATAGATGAATGAAGATTAAATGCAGCACTATGAACAGTTTTCGAAAGAATAAGTACATAAATATCAAACACATTCACTAGTTTATTGATGAACCTAGGATAAGTAGTATGTGTAGCTAATATGAACCACAAATTCTTTCAGTGGGCATCTTTTAAGACAATAAACAATATAAACTTATCGAACTGACAGTAGACACACCTATGCACTATGGATATATTCAGGGTACATTATGAAGTATGAAAACTAACGCGATACTTGACAACTTAGACAAATTAGAGAGTCGAATAATGGAAACTATTACCATGATAGTGTTATTTGCACTATTTTGTTCATACGCTCAGGCATTTCGCTTTAATCCCTATGTCATGAGTTCAAATTCCACTCAATACATTGAAGCTTATGTATTCATATAGTATAACCTCACCTTGAAAAATAAGTTTCTCACTGGTTACTAAAAAAATATTGAAATACACAATTTTAGTATCACTGGTCAGTTATTCGGCGTTCAAAATTCAAAGTTAAATCCCAATTTTCCAGCTCTATGATTGGTGAAAGGCTGGCGACAGATACCGTTAAAAATTATAAGAAAATCAAGCACATAACAACATTCACATTTTTATAGGTTCAGATACAACACTTTAACTAGTATATATCATGATGCTTTTCAAATAAATATAGTTCTAATTACTAGCAGGTTGCAATAGAATTGCATGTAAAATTGTGTTGATTGTGAACTCAGCTGTGAACTATGAGGGCCTGACAAACAAAAAACCATCGTAAATCTATCGAAATCTTATAGCACCTGATTCTTATGCACCCCAACTCGATAATTATGCCCTTCACAACAACCACCGAAATAAAAACAATATTATTCATTAAAATGATCGAAAATCTAATGAGTTCAATTTAACCCATTGTTAGAAACAAAATTAATGAATGAGAGTCAAGTTCATACTAAAGTTGATTATATTCCTTAGCTTCTCATACAGTGCTGGGAGGTTATACGAAATCCGTATCTTTACTAATTGCTTATAGGTTACAGCCATATATCGTATTCCAGAAGATATAATATCTAGAGTCACTGCTCACTATCGATTCAACTTGAAACTTGATTTTAGATGGAGGTAGCACGAATCAACATGCAAATCAAACTATCATTAGATCATAAATAACGTTGTTGTCAGCAGAAAGCCTTCCAAAAATAGAACCAAAATGGATTGAACATAAGCACACAAATTATCAAACTTCCTAAATGTGAAGCCAGTGAGAAGCGAAAACTATATTACCACAACTAAGTAGCTCAACATCAACATTATGACTTCTTAGGACTAACTTTGGTCACAGTTCCATAAACCTAGAAGTAGACAAACATAGGAATAGGCAACCAACACTTTAAACAAGAGTTATTTTGAAGCAAACGGCATAATGCTAAGTATGCTCAGAGAACCACACAATAGCTGCAAATGATTCACCACCATGGTGTCTTTAATAAAAATATGCTTACGCGTTATGCAGTTATGAAGGTGGCGTGGAGTGTATGAACTGGATAACTAATTGTGAGAGCAATAGAAAAACATCCTGCGGTACACATCCAAATACTCACATGCAGTTTTTTGTGCCCTTAGCAGATTAAAATGACTGTTAGGGCTTACCCACAACAATTTTCTGTTATACTGATGCTTACTGACCAGTATATAGGTTTAAAAAATCACAGGATGATATTTGTTCTCTACCATAAAGAGCATTAACTAAAGGTGACCAGTAACATACAAATCACCCATTATTATCACTGACGTAAGTATACATTTAGACAGCTGTCTGCGATCACAAGAACATACTCAAAACTTTTCAGTGGATACAAAATAACTCCTATTGAAAAATACACACATATATTGAGTGTTTCCATTGAAACGGGTCGGTTTTAGGCACCAGATACCAGATACAAGATTTGAAGTTCTGTGATTAATAGGCTTTGATATAACAGTAACAACTCTAATTGTATTGCCTGAAATAGTCTAGATAGCAAAGCATTTGCAGGAAATGGGAAATGATTACTGGAACTTCTAACCCTTAGCACTAAAACTGTAAACAAATTCAACGAGATGTATATGCATGACTACAACATACGGTTTAATTATTGAATTTTACACCAAGGTAACTCACATGGTTATCACATTAATGAAGGCAACTATCGTCATCGAGATTTTAACAGCCAAAATAAGTCTTACCTGAGTTAACAAGGCTGTTTTCGCTTGCAGAACTTCCAAGATTGGTATTTTCATGCAGCTTACGAATGGTGCCTCCATCTTTCGTATGACCTCCTTTCAGGATCCGATCTAGTGGCCTGTCAGTTTTGCAGTTATGCCAGTTCATTTCACAGTGTTTATAAACTTGGTAGTTAGGTAAATCAGCCTTTGAAAAATATACCGGATCTGCTTCAGTCTGCATTTGAAAAACTTTTTCCCGACAGCTGAGGAACTCATCGAATGTTATTCGCCCTTTAGTATTTGCACCAAGAGTATTTATAATTTCTTCGGCGCATTCTGCCATATTCAGTTTTCTGCACATGTCGTATAAATCTTCACAATCCAGACATCCATCGTTATTAGAATCACAGCTTAGGAACAGTTGTTTAAGTCTTTCCTCCTCCCCTGTGCTACTACTGTCACTGCCACTAGAATTTTAGGAGTTAAACACAAGGGAAGATGACTGACCTGCTTTTCTGATCAACACATTGTGCGTCACTCATATCATGAAAAATCAGAGAAAATTCAAACCCAGCGCTAGTAGCATTTGCGGTCGATACCTAGTCCGAAAAATGAACTCTCAAGGTATTGTTAAATCAGACACATTTAAACAACAGAACGTCTTTCACAGGCATGTGATGCCAGCTTTCGTTTACACACAATCGTTTCCTGAATTTCAACACTGGAGTTATCTTTAGTAACTGGAAGATTTATGTACGTGTACATAGAAGGATGTTATCATGATCATGTCTTTACTGGGTTTAGATAAATCTACAAAAGAAATATGACTGGTTCCCCGAGAAAGAATCATTGGAACTTCAAATTAATTATTACTGTAGCCCTTCAAATGGCCCCCAAACAAATGTACTGGGAAACTAACACTGACTGGGAGATATGAATAACCGCTGATCTTCCACGCGTGACATGTTATGTATTGCAAGCGGATATAACACTCACGCCTAACTAACAGCTAATTTCGTACTCAAGAGCCACCGACCGCAGGCCAGGAAGAACGGAGGAGAGGACTGGAGCATGTTCACGCAGCAGAAGATATCTCGAAAACAGCCATTATTACTCCTTTTGGCCTGTTTGAATTCCCGCGCATGCCATTTGGTCTTCGGAATGCAGCACAAACATTCCAGCGCTTTATGGACGATGTCTTCCGTGGTTTGAATTTTGTTCATGTCTACATCGATGACTGTCTAATTGCGAGTCCAGATAAGGAACTCACTTTAAACATTTGGACCTCGCATTCGAAAGACCTAAAAAACATGGCATCACAGTCAACTTACAGAAGTGTGAAATAGGAGTTGAATCACTCAGCTTCCTTGGGCATACCATTGACAACAAAGGTATACGCCCATTGAGGGATAAAGTGGCGGCTATCACAAACTATCCAGAGCCGACCACTGTGAAACATCTCCGCACTTTCAATGGCCTGGTAAGTTATTACCGAAGGTTTATCCCTAACTGTGCCTCTGTCATGAGACCACTAACAGATCTACTTCGAGAAACTACGAAGTTCGTGACCCTGGACAACGTAGCCAGACTTGCCCTCTCTAAAGTCAAGGAAGCCATTTCGAACGCAACCATGCTTATGCATCATGACCCCAATGCTCCTTTGAGTATTGCTGTTGATGCATCTGATTCAGCAATTGGAGCAGTTTTGCAACAGTTGACTGACAACCAGTGGCAACCGTTAGCCTTTTTCTCGAGGCGGCTGCAAGACGCGGAAACAGGATACAGTACATTTGGTAGGGAACTCCTAGCCATGTACTGTTCTGTACGCCATTTTCGACATTCTGTGGAAGGTCGTGATTTCATTATTTTCACAGACCACAAACCGTTAACGTTTTCCCTCAGCTCGGCGTCTGACAAATACTCCCCGCTGAGTCGCGACAGCTGGATTACATTTCCCAGTTCACGTCAGACATCCGCCACATTTCTGGAGCAAACAACTCCGCAGCCGACGCACTATCTCGAATAGCTTCGATAAACTACATCGAGGGCGTTGATCTCGTTGAACTAGCTCGGCGTCAAAAGGAAGACCTTGAGCTGCATCATGAGTTGTCGTCCACAACTCTCAAGCTGCGACTTTGTCCGGTTGGATCAGACAAGGATACAATTTTGTGCGATGTCTCTGCTAGTCAACCACGCCCAATAGTTCCGAAGAGTTGTCGACGCAACGTCTTCAATACGTTGCACAAACTCTCTCATCCAGGTGTACGAGCCACCATTAGGCTTATCGCACAACGTTTCTGCTGGCCTGGGATGAACAAAGACGTTAAGGAGTGGGCTCAGTCGTGCTTAGCTTGTCAAAAGTGTAAAGTCACGCGACACACGAAAAGCCCTTTAGGCCATTTTCTAGCCCCAGACATGCGTTTCGACCACGTCCATATAGATATTGTAGGACCCCTACCAGAATCTAATGGATGTACCTACCTTTTCACTTGCGTTGATCGTTTCACACGATGGCCGGAAGCAGTACCTATTAAGGATATTACTGCCGAAACAGTTGCTCGTGTTTTCGTCGAAAGATGGATCGCGAACTTCGGATGTCCATCTTACGTCACAACCGACCGTGGGCGCCAATTTGAGTGTGGATTATTTCACGCTCTAACGGCACTTTTAGGTTGCACTCGGTTCCGAACGACAGCCCATCCACAAGCAAATGGCATGGTAGAGCGTTTCCATCGACAGCTGAAAGCTTCCCTTTCAGCTGCAAACATACCTCAGTGGACCGAGGCTCTGCCTCTAGTCCTACTAGGTATTCGTAACGCCTTGAAAGTTGAAACTGGATGTACCCCTGCAGAACTCGTCTATGGGACCACTCTTCGCCTACCAGGTGAGTTTATTTTTCCTCAAACTTTCAAACATGTTTCCGACAGGGCATCGTAGGTGACTAGGCTTACAAACGCAATGCGTTCAGTTAGGCCTTCTCCGATTAGACCTCAAACGACTGATGTCTTCGTTCACCCCAGTTTACAAAAGACATCACACGTGTTTATTCACCACGACGCCGTTCGTCGACCACTTGAACCACCCTACGATAGGCCATTCGGAGTGATCAAGCGACACGAGAAATTCTACATAACTGAGCGAGACGGACGTGAAGAAACTGTCAGTACCGACCGTTTGAAACCAGCTTATCTCGAAGGCGACCCCATTATAAGTGACGTTCCGGCTCACTACAGCAGACCGACGGATAGCTCAATTATCGAAATTCTTGACGATGTGCCTGGTAATGCACAGTTGCAACAACCATCGGCACAACAGAAGACATGATCAGGTCGAACCGTCAGGTTCCCGGAGTATCTAAAGTCATATTCAACTTATTTGTGTGAAATAAAATGTGCCAACCATATTTTTTTACTTAAAAGATTTTTTCTCTCCTAGGCACTATTTTTCCTATTTGCCGGCAATGCGCAATCCTCGTACATTTTGCCTTTTTATGCCAATTTTTTATTACCATGTGATGAAACTTTTTAAAAAAAGGTTGAAATAAGCGTAAACTTTATTTTCGATACATTTGCATGTACATAATTCCCATTTTTCGAAGCGTTTTCATGGTATTAAAGACTTTTATTTATATTCCAGGTGCAACGAGCACTGGGCGGAAGGTCAAAGAAAACTGAGGATTACGATCGACTTACAGTTCGATTTGCTGTATTTTATTTTTAATTGCCACGACACCCTGGAATGAGTTCACACAACCAGGGGCCACTTCACACAGTGAGCCAATCGGAAGAGTTTTACCGGTGGAGAAACCACTGGGTTTTTACTTCCGGCTGGTATCGTCTCAGGGTCTTCACGAACCCGCTAGGGGGGAGTGATCTGTAGCGTCACACACTTCCCCAAAATCAATAGCCTAGGGTTTGACGACTTTCGACATTGATGCTGACCTTCGTTGTTTAACTGGACTCACTAAGCTGAAGGCACCCGGTCAAGCATCTTCGCCATTTGGCACGCTGTCGTATTACGTTGCACTGCTCGTATTCGACTCTCTAGCCAGTTAGTTGGAACGCACTGGTATCTTGACACAACCATCCTAATATACTATTCCATCCGACTACACTATCGTGTTCTTCCTTGGTCTGGTACTCATGGGTATATAACAAGTCCGAATAATTAGTGATTGGTCTTTGCGCCTGTCAAGTTCGAACCAGGGCAAATCTTAAAATGTCGTTACTGGGTTTAGGTAAATCTACAAAAGAAATATGACTGGTTCCCCGAGAAAGAATCATTGGAACTTCAAATTAATTATTACTGTAGCCCTTCAAATGGCCCCCAGACAAATGTACTGGGAAACTAACACTGACTGGGAGATATGAATAGCCGCTGATCTTCCACGCGTGACATGTTATGTATTGCAAGCGGATATAACACTCACGCCTAACTAACAGCTAATTTCGTACTCAAGAGCCACCGACCGCAGGCCAGGAAGAACGGAGGAGAGGACTGGAGCGTGTTCACGCATGACAAGTCATGTGATCCGAGGGGATATAAATTATTAATATTACCATTTGTCCCTTAGGTTGCTAGTAGCTTCAGCAGCACGTCTCCATTCCACTCTCTTCTCTGCAATCTTTTCAACTTGGCTCCGCAACTGCCCACAAGCTCTCATGTCTTCCTCACACCATCTCCTCCATGTCACCCTCGCCTTGGACTCCCAACTCGTCGTTTCCCATCTGGGTTCCACTCGAGTGCCTGGTGCGTTGTGTCACCGAATGGTCTTCTCAGTGCATACCCAATCCATCTCCGCTTCCTCTGCATATTTGTTGGGCGATGGGTTGTTGGTTGGTTCGTTGCCAGCTAGCCAGAGATCCTTGTTACTTATTCCTTCTGGCCATCCGAGCTTCACTATCGAGCGTAGGCAGTTGTTGGTGAGCATCTGTAGCTTGTTGGAAGTGCTTTTCATGACGCGCCAAGTTTCTGGACCATATGGAAGCACTGACTTGGCATTAGCGTTGAAAATCCGGATCTTGTTCTTCGTGCTGGGTGGAGATCTTCACACTGGTTTCAGGTTAATGTATGCCTGTCTCGCTTCTCTGATCCCGGTTGGCCCTGACATCCTCATATGTGCCGCCTGTAGTTGAAACGATGCTGCCTAGAAACGTGAAACAGGCCACTTCCTTCAAGTTTCTCCCGTTGATGTTGATTGCAGCTCATTGTTGTTTGTGGTGTTGGTTGGGTATCATCATCACCTTCATCTTCTCCGTGTTCACTTGAATTCCCGTCTTCGCCGCCCTCTCTGTCAGCTTGCTAGTCTTTGCCCGTAGATCTTCGAGTTTGTGCGACATTAGGCACAGGTCATAGGTGAAATTCAAATCTTCTTTTTCCGAGACCCAGCGTATTCCCCCTCTTCTCACCCTTCACGGTTCGCTGCATGATCCAGTCCACCACAATCAGGAAGATCATAGGTGGTAGTAGATAGCCTTGTCTTACTCCTGTCTCCTGTCTGCACTTCAGAGGCATCACTGAGTTTCCCGTTGTGAATTACTTG